AAAGGAGGATTCAGTTTCCCAAGGCTGTAGTACTTGAGATTTCATGAAAATTACTTTTACTAAAAATAATTAATATTATTAGGATGAGTAATTAACATTCATTCTTCTGGGTTTATGCTGATGGCCTCTGAGGAAATTTGAAGACCTATTTTCCTATGTATAGCATTAAGTAATTGGCAGCATGGTACTGGGTCATTGGGTGTAGAACTTATTCTTGGGTGGAGGATTCTTTTTTACCTTGCTATTAAGTGTTTTTTCAACATATTTAAAATTTTCATTTTATGTCTGTCCAACCATTGCAAATATATTCTAAGTATTTTATAGAACGTCCTTAAACAAATGTTTATATTTATTTTGAAAATGAAATAAAAGCTGATATTCTAATGTTTGCCCCTCAACACCTGTCATACTCTGTACACTCCACATTTAATATATTGTCTTACATTCTCCAGAATATGTCTTATGTATACTACTTACTCTCTGGACATGATCCTGCTTTCAAAAATTGTAAATTGGTTTTGCCGGCTTGACAGTTTTCACCAAAAAGTCCCTGTAACCTTCTGTGACAAAAGCTTGTGGCAATGGTACAGAAGTCATGGCAACAGTTTTCTTTGGCTTCTCAGCAGGAACAGAAGTCTTAGATCTTCTGCTTCATCTGCAGTTCTGAATTTATGTGGGATGCATGGACACAACTTATTTGGTGGTTGTATAACTCACCTAGAAAAATGCTTCTAGCATCTGAATTGTGGTCCACCGAAGAAGGTAACCTTGGTGGTACTTGGTTTTAATAGTTATGCAGTATGATTCTGCAGCTAGAAGGAAAATACAGTTATCTCCTTGGGCTTCTGTCCATCCTGTGAGGTGAAAGAATCACGTATGTTCTGCAGAGAGTGTAGGTTAGAAAAGGCATGCGCTAGAATAATTTCTTATGAACATCCAAATTAAATCAGGAAGAATGACTGTGTGCCTAGTTTAATTGTTGCAGTATTTATTTTGAAAAGAAGCCTGTGCCATTATTTTTATCTAGCACTATGGAAACAACCTTCAAAACATAATTGTGTATCTTACACACTGCCTAAACAGATCAAACC